AAGGACGCTGCGCGCCTGAGGTCCATGGAATGCAAATTAATTCAATATCGTTCTTTTTTTAGCTTGCGTCCAATGCCTAGAGGAGAGTTCACAACATTGCCTTCCCATGGAACCTCGATACCACGTGACATTACGTGGTGGTATTGCTGCAGGGGACTACATGAAACTTGGTAAAGTTGACAATTACACAACATGTGCCAAATACTGTTGCTTGGATTCGAAATGTGATCTTGCTTTCATGGCCGACGACATGTGTTACAACTTGCACTGTTACAGTTCAAAACAATGTGAAACGAGTCCTAGTGAACAGTCTCGCTTCAAAGTCTCTGTCACTTACATAAAGAGAGRTGTTGATGGTAAAACAATGACAACAATTTTAGATAAAACAACAYATGTTCATGGAAGCACGTTACAAAATAACTCAAAAACTAATGTTGGTTCCTCAGCTGCTTCTGCAAAAAATGCAACAACAAGCAGCATGATCCAAGCACAGACTATGGACAATTCTTCAGCGAATAATAATAATTCGTTTGAAAATCACGAGCAAGAAAATGCCGACAATGCAACATCAGAAGGGAATTTCACAAAATATGAAAATTCGTCTGATACAATACCCAAAGTGATGGTGTATTGGAAAAATGATTCTCATATTGTCGTAAAAGAAGTTCTAGACATTATCAAATCCAACACAACTTCCACCTCAAAAAAGGCTAATATTACGTCTAACATCACAATGGAAAATAAGGAAAGTACGAGAAGACCTGCCATTGATGACAATACATCAAACAACGCTAAACACAAGCAAATCAAAGCTTTYAATTCATCAATGGATACTTTTTCCAAGAAAAGTAGCTCAGATGTTAATAGAACTAAAAGTTCTAATGAGACCAGTATAAAGCAATTACATAAATTAAAACTTGAAAATATTTTATCAGTCGATAGAGGCGTGAAATCAAGAAATCACACCCAAGAACARGTCGAAAAGGGGCTTTTGGAAAGCTTTCTTCATTCTAACRCTACTGGAAGGAATGAAACAAATACCTCCCTTGACACGGATAACATATTAAATTTTGAACAAACTCGAGGRGAATCGTTTCAAAGTAAAGAAAATGGGACTGAATTTGATATAAGTAGCACTTTTAGTGGGCCTCAAAGTCCTCAGATGAACAATGGTATGTCAGCAACCAACACACAAGGAAGTAGGCCAACTACTTTTGATTTCAGTAGCCCGTTGACGGGAGGTACTCAAAGCRCACAGCTAAACTCTASTTCGTCTGMAACGAATTACCAAAGTGCAAATTTAAGCAGCCCCTCGATGGGGAACCAAAATGATCAGTTAAACTCAAATTTGTCGCTCACGAACGAAGGAGGCGCTACATCTCCTATCAMCAGATTTAATTCTGTAATGAACTCCAATTCGTCTTCAGTAATCAATTTGAGTCTTAGACAAAAGACTGCCGAAAGACAATGCTATTCTAACGGGATTTTGTTTAACAAGACATTAGTTCATGGACTTAAATCAGGAGATTTCAGTGATTTTGGAGTRGTTCCCGACATGGCTACRTGTGTCAGGTTTTGCTGCGGAGACAAGGCGTGTAATATGGCTTTAATGCTTGGTTCAACRTGYTAYACYYTGCACTGCGCTAGTCCAGAATACTGCAAGGTSAGACCAGCTCATCCGTCATCGTTAAACCCAAGAATAAGCTTTGTCACCCAGTTAAATTTACCCARTATTGCAAGTGCAAGAGATCGTGATAAGAGCAAATTATTACCTGTTGTTACTCCACAAAAGAAGGTATCAAAACGCATAAAAGGYTCGCGGTGTCAGCACGGATCAATCCAGAGTGACGTCACTTTGAAAAGTGGTCAAAAAGCGGGKTTTTTCAARCTTCGTCCAAARGCAAAGGACATGGATTCGTGTCTAGATTCATGYTGCAAGGAAGTCTCATGCAATGTTGCGTTTCTCATCGACAAGWCGTGCTATTCTGTGCAGTGCAAAAGCCAYGAGGACTGCGCTATAGTAAAGAAGGGCAAGTCGTCCAAGGTTCGATCGTATTTGTCAGTAGTCAGGAGTAAGATTCTACCAATGAATGACAGTAAGTGAAAGTTCTATATCTCTCCTTCTGTACATCTGGTAACTTTTACAGCTCATTGCCGGGGACCTACACTGATTCTTGTCCCAACAAGATTACCACATATCTTTATATATAATCGAATTACGTTGCAACACATCATYTTCTTTTTTTATTGGGGAGTATTCTGTTTATTTCTATTATTCCTGTACTACGAGTGTCATGATGTCGCAGCAGATGTGCATGAATATAATTCACTAGGTTTGAGCTGATTTTCAGGAGCCCAATATTAACTATAACTCTATTATTATCTACAGAGAGACAACAGATCCCTAAACAAGGTAAGTGCGCCAACGTTTACCTTATCGAAGAAACAGGGTTTTTGAGTTTAGTGACACTTTGGAAAAGTGATTTTCTTTTTTGAAGTCCTTGAGATAGCCTGCGGGGCTATCCTTGAGACTGTATGCTCTGTCGACATTTCTTGGTGATGTTTTCTTTAATGTGTATTGACTAGTATAATTTTAACATTTCACAGCAAAYCAATATGTCACAGTAATGAATATCACAAACAAAGCATTCACTGCGCCATTAGCTGACTTCGAATCACTTGAGTTCCTGAACCTTGGGGTGAAAATCCAAACAGCGGTAAGTACCTGGTCTTTTGAAACATGAAATTCAAATTTTGGCCAAACCAATATGGTAGTTAGGTCTCTTTTGATTTCRATTCTTCAGCCACAAGTTCCGTGTACATGTAATTGTATTTAGTTGTCAAGGCTAGCTGCTGTCGGAATTAATGATGACATTTTTTAAAGATTTCAATGCAGCTTTCAAGTTTTAAAGAGTTCAAAGAGTCCGAGGTCATTTCATTCAAGTAAGTATACAATCAGCATATCTAAACGTATCAACCCTGAAAGCCACGCCTTGCAATAGCGCCCTGGTCCCTAAAATAGTCGATCCTAACAGGTCCGAGTCAAAAACACGATAACTGATATTTTTAATGTTCTGTTTGCTACCAGACCAAGCCCTCTAATGACAAAAGTCAAACTGACAGTTTCGGATGGTGCAAAAATTAAAGAAATTCTTCTTCAATTGGTAAAGACCATCAAATATGGCAAGATGGAATCATCTATCGATGGTGTTGTAGAGACATTCGAATTAAGCACATTTGGGTTTCAATTTAACAACCCTCGAGGTGAGTCCTAGATTAACAAATAGTATTAAAATAATTAGAAATGAATGATGTTAACAAACATTATATGCCAAAATACCTAATCGGTGAGATCCAGACCTGATCAACAAGATCAACTTCATAGCGATCAATATTAGAAGACCAGAACAACAATTGTCGAGTCGTGAAGTTCAAGTCACAAATATTTTGTCCATGCCATCTAAACCATGATCATTGACTCTAGAATGGCCAAATTATGAGATTTCAGTGTTTTTGTGCCTCCTCAGTTGTTCAAAAGCGGTTACTGTCCACTAGCTTTGGAGTAAAGTTGTGCAAGATGGCTGAGTGCCTTCTACGTGTAGTTTGTACTAAAATGTCCTCGATTCCTAATTGTCTTGTAAGGTTTCAACTTGGTGTGCGATCCTGAGTTCAACTACGATGTTCACTGGAAGCTGACTGTTTTCGACTATCAAAGTGTTAGTCCCTGCCCTAGAAAAGCATTAGGTGGGTCTCCCTCATATTGTTTATAATTTTATAGGAGCATTCTTCTAGGCAAATCAAATTGATAAATATCATGGTGATAAATGATTTATAAACGTAATTTTTGTAATTCGCTAGGTACGGTACGACGAAGTTGTCATGGCAGCAAAAACCACAATGCAACGTGGGGATTTCCCAGTTTTGTCAGTTGTGAGACACCGTCTTATAARTCCCTTCAAGAAAAGGTACTAGTGCGAATCAAATATTAATTCAACATGGCACGCGTTTGTCTTTAAAATTCCATGACATTTTGTAGCCTACTAATGAGCAAAATCCTGTTATTTTTAGGCTCAGAGCTTTGCCGAAGGAGCRCAAAAGAAGATACCTTTTAAAGTCCTACAAACAAATCTCAAAACAACTCCAAGCGAAATATTGATTAATATTCAAAAACTGACATTTGAGGATACATATCGAGCAATGCTGGACATGGCGCACAAACAAGCAAACAGATCGCTTAGTCACGTTAACAAAAGTTCCTTGCACGACAGTAAGCATGGTCCCACATTGCCTCCAAAGACAACACAGGCACARTCSAGGAATCAAACAATGAAATCYCTTTTTTCAAATGATACATTYAGTATTCCTCTTCCTGTTCAAAACAGCAAATCATCAGCCAACATTATGGGTGGTCAAATAGCCGAAACCAAATCATTCTCAAGAGAAAATATTCCAAAACCACCTCAAAATAAGCCTGRAYCAAACCGTGTGGKACCAAACAGCAARCATCCGCCAGTTGTGAAACCCCCTAAAGTACTTCTACCAAAGAAACCAGCRAATAGTATGCCTTCGGTTGTAAAACAACAACCTAACATGGGACACAGCGCAATCATGAAGCCTAATGCTGGAGTTGGTCCAGTAAGCGCTTCTCAAAACCCAGCTGCACAAAGGTCTTACTATGGTAATGTAGGGAAGAGTAGTCCTATGTCTAAAGTACCACAATCTCCTTACGATTTGTACAAAAAACAAATGGTTTTGAAGAGACTACAGGCTGCACAAGCCAAGCAAAGACTTTTGCACCAGCAGCAAGAGCAACAACGACAACAACAACAACAACAGCAGCAGCAGGAACAACAACAACAACAACAACAACGACAACAACAACAACAGCAGCAGCAGCAGCAACAACGTAATAATGTTTTTCAAAATAGTCAGGCAGGCTTTGGACAACCATTCCAAAGGAGCTGGCCAAACAACCCAAACATGTACAACCGGTTTCCACAAGCTGGTCAAACCGGCTTTGGCGGAGTTCCTGGCTACGGATATGCAGGTTTTCGAGATAAAGCTGCTGGTCATCATGAAAAGGAAGTCAGTCGAAAAAAGAGAGATGTTGAGCTGRTCAGAGTTAAAAGACAGGGTGGAAATATGGTGTGGTATAATCAAGAAAGACAACAACCACAAAGACAAATGGACTACAACCCAACMCCACAAATCAATGGTTATAACAGAGAACCCATACTAACGAATACAAAAATAGGCTACGATGATCCTGACGATTCRAGGAATGGYATCATTGATGAGCGCTACTTCCAACATCCAACTCCTGGCTATCAAACTGCTACATATCGTCTTGGCGAAAACGGTTCTCCAACAGAAATGCCTCAAAGTGGTACAGACTCTAAAAGTCAGCCAGGGCTKAGGTTTGGATCGTATCCAACYAAYAGGGTGACTGGATTTGGTGATGAGGACAGTCTTACTTCAGCAACRCCTGGTAAAGTTTTCCAAACACCAGGTACTTTCTCAAGTGGTCCAAATCCTAACCARYTWCCKATGACTACRAGTAAACCGTCYCTTTATCAAACTACAGCACAAGTGACGCCCCTAAATCAAAAAGCAGGACCTGTGATGACAACGCACTCTACTTTAGGAAATACATTATCTAAAACTTCGATAAAATCATCTGTTTCAATTCCGACAAGTTCGCCTCAAAAAGCAACTGGTGCAACTTCTGCAAAGGCCACGCAATCTACCATTGACTCTCTTAAAAAGAAGCTTTTAGATATGACCCAGTCAACTCCAAACACAACGACTGCAAGACCATTTCTAARGRAYGATTTCACCAAAGAGAAAAACCGAGCTCCAATGTTTGGTGGTGACATTGCAATGATTGTTGATATATTACGCAATTTGCTGAAATACAATAAATATACCAATCCCCCAGAGACTATTGACACACTCAAGGTAAGTTTTAGTAAAATATTTGTTTTTGTTATAAATATGCAATAAAAATGCGCTAAAAAAGGAAAGGTCTGGTTTTCTATCATACGTCGGAGCTCGAACTCTTTACTAATAAAGTCATAATTATACTAAAAATAATGTCTTGCTGCCTTCATCTTTTAATTACAGCAATTTCTTCAAGTTGGAAGCCATATCCTCGATAAAAGAAATAAGCACGAATGGAAATTCCTAACAAAGGTTGGTAATTTTTTTAATGATTAGTTGCTTTTAACTGTTGTATTGTTTGGGTGGATCCAGCATATGGTGTAAATGTTCTTTTCGACTGGTTATTCATGAGTACTGACAACTATTTTCCAGGAATCACCAAAACACGTWTCGGCACTTGACGCTGCAGAGATCATCGAAGACTATAGCATTATGGTATCAAAAAAACTTCCTCCGAGGGACATGAAAAAACCAATTTTAACCACAAACATACGTAAGAAACGTTTTTTGTTTGTGAAGAATCGAGTTATGTATCTGACATGGATTCTTGTTTTCTTTCTTTCAATTTGTTTTCAAGTGGTGGCATTGCGATCAGTGGATTTAATTACGATGGATACTTCTAAAGAAATTCAATTTCCTAATTACTCCGACCCAGCAATCAAAAACTGGACAGACGCAACAGACACTTTAGTAATCAGACCGCAGTCGTTGACTAACGCCTTAGAAGGTATGCATTAAGTATAAAACGTTCTTCACATTAAGTACGACAAATTTTATGCGATTCAGACTTTGTATACAGAAAATAAGAACATAAAATGATCATTTATGACACAGACGACTTCTAACGCTTTGAAGGTCGTGCTTTCTAGGATATTTCAATTTGTCGGGAAGATCTGAAATGGAGTCAATCGTGCGTGCTACTGGAGTGTGCTATTCAAAGCCTGATTAGCGTTAATCCAGGTAGATGTTTAAGGATTAACCCAGGATTAGCGCAAATCGAGCTTCGACCAACTTCCCCCTGCAGTATGCCAAGGAGCGTTTTCTCTACACAGGACGTTGTTCGGGACAATTAATCTCTACATCAAAATATAGTATTTTAGTTAAATGTTTTGCTAATAGTGCTAACCTCTTAATCACAGGTACAAAGATGCAACTTGTCAGCTGCAGTGTTCGCAGGCTCACTGATCTTCTGCCAAAGAGTCTGGTGTCGAAAACTTTGTAAGTATATCAGCCAAAAACGAGATTGAGTGTTATCAATCGTTTTTGTTATCATACGATTATGTTACTCATCAACATTGCGCATGTCTGTTTCAGYGGGAACGAAAGCATYATCAGTGGTAACGTRATGTCAGTYAGTTCAATTCCTTCACTTGGTGACATGATTGACCCTCCCATACAGATCGTCTTGTCCAATAACAATGTGAGGCTACATACGATATCTTATACTTATGATATTGTTAAAGGCGTTATATTTCCTTGTCTAATTGGAAACAAAYGCTTCTCTTCACAGAAAGATGTAAGCCAGTTCGAAGAGCAGTGTGTATTCTGGGAGAAAGGYTTAGGGTAAGTGTTTGCTGACTTCATTGATGTTTGTACATAAACAAGCCGTCACTAAATGCAACAATCCCCAAGTAAAGCGACATCCTTATTTTTTTTATTCCAGGAACAAGCCTGGAAAATGGTCTTCACGTGGTTGTAAGTTTGTCGAGTCCAATCTCTCTCATACAATCTGTGAATGTACGCACATGAGTACATTCTCAGCAATCGCGAACACAGCAAAACACAAGGTAAAAAGATCATACAACTGTTCTGCTTCCTCGAGACGCACCMTTCTACAATMATCATTGATGTATGTTCTATTTTGATCTAAATTAGCAAATCGCCATTGCCACTGTTCCACCAACGTCTCCCCAGCCTGAGCCTGAGGAAAGCAATGTWTTGTACATATTACTGGGAATCCTGGCATTATTGATGATCATATTGGTCCTAATGGCTGTGGTGTATCTGATTTGGAAGTAAGTCGAAAAATCCAAAAATAATATGTACTATAAGTACTACTTTGAGGAAAAATCTTGCTATGTTAATCGTAATTTCTTAATCACTTGTGGATTTGATCTTGTGATTGATCTTGTTTGCCTCAGAAACGTTGTCATTCGTTTAGCAGATATATAAGTTAAGAGAATCTTACCTTCTTTGGAAGTAGATTCTAGATTTTACAAGCTTCAAACGTCTGAAACTTGCAGATATTATAGCGAAAACATTTCTGAACAATCGGCCATTTTGTTTGTGTTCATATATGGTATAGATTTGCTAAAGGAAGCCCAAAACTAGAAAGCACAGGGATTCCGCACGAATGACAACTTCACATAAAATCCAGCAGAGAAAACTAAATCAATATGGGTTTATGTCATTGTTTTGTTGTTATCATTCCTAATGTTTATAAATCGTTGATTGATTGTAGAAGAAGAAAAGGTGGTCAACAAGAAAGAAGTACCACTAACAGTCGAGCAGAATCTAGAGGAAGTGGAAAATCGGTAAGAACAAAAAAAGAGCCTCTTTCTTCTCAATCAGATTTTTTTTTTCATTTTTACATATAAACTGTGGTAACATTTTACAGCGTTCTGACGAGAGCTTGAGCACAGGATCAGAGGAATTTGACGTGAGTAGAAGTGCGCATATCTAAGATATGTGGTGTAGTATCGCATAAACTTAYAAATCTCTTTATTATTATTCAGGATATGATGGCGTCCAGGCGAAGGAATGTCCACCCAGACATCAAGAAGGTATGTTCTTAACCTTTCCCATCATTAAGTCCAGCTTTCATACGAGCGCCTCCGTTTTTCATGTCGGCATTTCGATCTGAGTAAGACGGCGACGTTTGAACGCGATCTATGCCCGGTTTATAAGCTGCAATACTCGTACAAATCYGTGGCTATTCTTTCGATTTCTAGGGACCAATGAATTCTCCAAGATGGCAAAGAATGAGGAAGAATGGAGAAAATCCTGAAGATTTGATGTTAAAAGAGAAGTCGTACCTCTTTTCAGACTATCATCAACCATATCACTTCCTGTCTGCCAAGACTCCCGAACCATCRTCGTCTAATCGTCGACAGCGCTCACGTTCAAGCTGAATCGTGTAAAAAAACTCTTTTGAAAAGCCCTCTTTCACTATGACGTCACATACTATCAAGACCAGAATGCCTTGCCCCCTTTCTTTGTATATTAATTAGTTTCAATAGTTTTACAAATGTACAAAAGAAAAGAATGAAAATATGTATCGTGGTCTTGGTAGCTATTTGACGCAGCGGTGAATGCTGGTCTATTATAGAAACTCATTATGGCCTAGCCAAAATAATATATACCGATTTCAGAAAAAAATGACACTTTTAGATACATGCATATATACAAAACACTTCAAAAATGACCGAAAAAATTATGCGATGGCTACCTAAATATACTTTCAAGAATGCCCGAGTTATGCTTTACTGCTTTGCTCTAGAAAATCACCCGCAATAGGCCATTTGYATGATGGCGTAAAAGGCTTTGCGCATTTTCTTATTCTGATTTTTAACCCCTTTGGATGCTAGTTAAGTAATCGGGATTAATCACATTACAAACGAAAGTGAAGTTTCAGTTAATTACGCCATAATGCAGATAGTCTATCGTCACAGGAATTATCTATAAAATTAAAAAAACTTGTACTGTTATTCTGTAAAAGTTTAGSAGTGACCTTATGACGCAATGTATATAGCTCTTTATATATGTATTTTACAAAGTAAATATTAATGCRAATATATTCGTTATGAAATATCGTCGTCTTCGCTAAAATTGAAGACGCGCACATATTCACATGTTAAAGGTATGCCGCACCAAATCGATTATTGATCGCAGGTTCTGAGACTGAAATCATACAAGGGACACTCGCRGTCGCTTTGATACCATACAAGGATGTGCCGGCTGTGATATCATAAGCAAGACAATATATGTTCTTAAAGATTGTGTGCGTCAAGCTATAACTGCAATAAATCGTTTGCATAAAATTACACCAAGGAAGATAGAATGTCAAAATAGTCGGATTCCGTGTTCTAAAGACTTAAAAGAGTTCAAAGACRGTTGTGYCAACGAATTAACTTAAGTTTATATAACACTACTCCAMACCAGTTTGTGCATATTTTTAATAAAAATTACCAAATATTCATCATAAAATAACCSAAAGAAAGCTTACATCATATCAAATTGTAATGAATTGTAATTCTCAATTTCGTTTAACTCAAGATATATTAATTTTACTAATCTAATTATCTGTAATCACATATATAAAATTTACAGTAATATTTCTTGTGTATTAAAATATTTATACGTTTTTTAAAACAAACGTCTGCTTTAGTTATYATTGTAATTGTGAAAACTCAAATTGTTGCGTAATCTATTCCCCCGTAGAAAGAGTTTGATCTCACCCTACAACCAACGTCCAAATTTAACAGTAATTGAATAATAACTTGAATAAATTCATTGCTCAAGATTAATAAGAAAATTCAGAATCAAACTGCCAACAACTGAAGCGTTTTTCCTCATAATTTCCTTACTTCGTCCAATCCACTCTTCCTTGCCAGARCAGACTTACAAATAACACTTAACCTTGGCACATGTAATGATCCRCTGGATAATAACAAACTCTCCAAACACTGACGATTTGAACCTTCCAGTTGCCACAACAAACACACTAGATACGAATGCAAATTCTCAGAGATCAACAATGTAACGTTGTCCTCWGAGAATAACGTATGCCGCAAAGCAAAAATACCAATATTCTGCACCCATTGAGAGCCCGGCCACTGGACATTACCATAGGTATTTGATACTACCGCGGTATTATCGATGTCCCAGTCTGGAATGTCACACATGTGAACGTCTGCAGAAGATAAAGGAGTTGCACGATCCTCTCGAAAACTWATACCGTCTGTGTCTTCCTCCTCRMTCTCATCTGCAGAGAGCTTCATTTTCTTTGCACCAAYGTTGGTATCAGTCATCTCTGTGTCGCATGGATTTACTGTACCCCTTGCAAAAGCCAGGTGAACAATAGGAGCAAGCGTCATCCAGACGTAGACATGTTGYTCTTCGTACATCCCAATCGTTTGAGGTTCAGCACCGTTTTTAAGAAAACCGCTGATGCATTGATCAATGGCGGCAGCTTCAGCCTGTGGAATGGCTACTAATGTGGACGATCTAACTCTTGCCAGAAACAGTAARCAGTAATAGCTGAAAATATACCGATGAAACATAGAAAATGTAAACTTGCAAAAATGTTCTGTACAGTCAATGAGGCTGTCAACATAAAAAGCAAAAAGTGCCAGGTACCATAATGCATATGGTACTTGAAAGCTAAAATTGCTTACAATTAACATTGTATATTCAATGCTGATAAATGTGAATTTTAATGTGGACTAAACGTCACAAGAATAACAGTTCATCTCTGAGAAAACACTTACCAAACTACAAGTGGTTTACTGAACTCCAGTTCTTGCAAAGGCATCATGAATAAATGTTTTGTGTCATTCATGATCTTGAGATGAACCTTATATTCAATCAACAATTTCAGAGCCTCTTGATCAAAACTTAGGTAGAACAGTGTRTTTGCTACCAAGCAACATTCCTGTTCTATGCTAGCRGAAATGGARGAGTCCAAGTCATACCCAATAACATCAACAAACTTGTCCAGTATTTTGTGGTTGGCAGCCACTTCACGTTGAACGTTTTTGTCATATTCTACACACCTAGGAATAGACAGGGTGATAAATGGGTTGACATCTTAAAATTATATGATGGCAGCAAGGCAAGAATGATAAGGTCAAAGTAATGCAAAAATGTGAAGATGGAAGCTAAACAAGAAGCAATCCTTTTCCACTAACTCATCTTGTGACACCAACAGCAATTGCCTGTCAGCCACAACATCATATACTGTGTTACTGTAGTAATGATAGCGGCAATAATGGAAATTACGGTGGAAGTAATTACATGTATGAATAGTACTACATACCCACAYAGACAACCAAGTGCATTTTCATGAATCTCATCAACAAAATCCTGATGCATATCATCTCTGCTGGTTTTAAGGTAGGCATCAATCATGAGYTTCAGTCCACCATGTTGAAGAACAAGCTTTGTCTCTGGTCCTGTTTCCATGAAATTCCAGAGCACTCTCAGAACGAGAGAGTTTAGAATATATTGCCACTCATTGAATGTTTTGACTAACTGATCAGACCTAGAATCAAGAGAGAAATATTATAATTCACAGGAATCTTTATCATCTTTATTATCTTTATCAAGTTCACTGGTCATTGATGCAGAGATATGGTTTACTTTCAAGATATTGCAATGTGCCATGAAGGAGACCATGTATTATTACCTGATAAATAACTGTTCATCCTGATCGGCAGCCATATTGTTATCTTCACCATCATCATTATCAATCGATAATGTGGGAGAATTCTCCTTCATATTTTGAGAAAACCATGTATATTCTTTATTTGAGAATCYATTTATTTCTAAAAGATAGTCTAGGCCTTTTTCTTGCACAAAATAGCGCCTTACTGCTTGGACAGGCACTGTTTTCCATTGACCAAAAATGTGAGATAATGTTTCTAGTGGTTCAAAGAGATCTGCATACAAATCTTCTACTTTTTCAACATCGTCAAATGAAGGTACACAAAGATGGCGCCCATCTGACGTGCAAAGCTGAGACAATAGCGATTCAAACTTCTTCAACATGTTGATGCATCCATCGAGCCTTTTAATGTTTACTTTAGAAAGGTATTTCACAAACAGCGTTTCTCCCTGGCGTACATATAAATCACCTAGCTTAGTATCAGGATCATTCAATGGCTGATCTAGATAACTAAGCCTCTGGATACATACAGGGGCATTCAGTAAATCTTGAAGCTTTAACTTGACGTCCAAGACAGAAGTGTTCGCCAAAATGTCCGCATTGTCGAAATTCAATTTGAGTTGTTCTCTCTGGTTGGTATTTGTACAGACAGCATCAACATTCAAAGTAAGACCGTTTTCTTCATCGATCGTCGCCATTTTATAAAGAAGTCAGTTAAAATGAAGTAAAAGATATCGGTTGAATTGCAAACAACTCCAGATATACAAACTTAACTTAAAAACCCCGCATTCCAGTACATATTTTTTTATGGTCATCCAGGCGGTCAAAGATAAATACGACAGGCATTCCTCGTCTCAGCTGCGACTGACTGGAACTGAGTTTCATGATGACACAGGCAGTCCAATATCAATTATGAGTTGTTATTTATATTTTTTGTGTTTTATTTCACAGAAAGACATTCTCAAAAATAGGCAGTCGAGAACTGCATGTGACTCAGGCCATCAAGTGATTATATACGTTGCAAGGGAATGGAACGTGGCCTATATACACAAGAGCCGGTGATTCCCAGGGGAAAGGAACAGTGATAGTTGATCATTCCCACCTCCCGTGGGGGCTTGACACAGGGCGCCCTGTCCCTGCCTACAGTAAACATATCAATCTGAAAGATTTGGAAAAGGGATTTTTATCCACGACATGGAGCGGTCCTTAGAGATTTTAGCTCTAGTCAAAGACATCTTTCTGTTTCTGTTGACTTATAAACTCATGATCAAATATATTATATCATTCAAACTGTATTTTTACTATAATTATTCGCCTGATTATTGTTTTGCAATAAAACCCGAAGATTGTTTCACCATTCTTTATTAACTTTAAGCTGATTAGTTCTTCATCCTCTTCAACTGTTGACATTCACTATAATTAATATTAACCCATTTGTAAACTTTTATACCATAAGACACCACTTCATTGAACTGGCACTATCATGCCTTTGATTACTCTGATCATTTTCCTGTTCTTTAAAGTTGTTTTCAAAGTTGCTGTTATTGATGCGGTTGTTGAAATTGTTGTCGACCTTCCCAGGAGATATTATTTTCCCTTGAAGAGATTTTAAATACAGTGTTAAACGAAAATGTGGAACGTTCGATTGCAGTAATGCAGTACCAATTGAAACCTGCTTTTTGATTGCTCCTTAAGTACAGCACCACTATTGTTAGGTTAGGTTTTGTTATATTGTTGGAAGACTTATCTATTGTTTGTCCATTGTTTTCTCAACCTATCATGAGACCCGTTCCGAGCGGTGCTACCTGGCTC